CAAATTTAACTTGAATGGCAACACTAGATATCCTCAAGTTACCTATAATCTACATATTGGTTGTACATGTAACTGCCAGACAACTACATCTAACCTTACATAAATGTTCAATTATCAACTAATAAATTAAATTGTCTTCGTCTGGGGGCCAATTAATTAAATAATAATGTGTTTAGGTATCTGACCTCCAGGAAAAACAAAATGCATTACAAAGTAATTTCATATGACCTTCAGGACAATTTTCTTCTCCACTATTACCTTGAGCAGAAAAAAATAGTAAAGAAATTTAATTTTTGCCACTAATGATTTTGCCTGGCCCTGAAAAAATTTATGTTTTTTCTACTAGTAGTTTTCAGAACAGTTACTGTTGATGCATTGTGTACAATTAGAAAAGTTGGCTTTAACTTTAAACTGTCACATTCTTGATTTGAAACAAAGATTTTTATGGATTTTATGTTCTATGAGAAAAAATAATCTTCTCGATGAACCATTACTGTCTGAAACAACGAGCAGATTATTTTTGGACTGAGCAGAGCACTTTGGACAAGTGCTTCTAGCCTTTTATAATTAACGTTACTACTAAAACCTACACATCTGATATTTTGTGAAAAGGTTCTCTGTTACCCAATGGATCATAATACCCCCCAGTGAGACCCTTCATGCTTCATTGAAAATGAAAAAATCTCAAAATAAATCTCAAAGAGACATTAGGATATACCATATGAATTTAATTTGTTAATTTAATTAATTTAATTTAATATTTTTCGGAACAAAGATGAAGCGACAGGGCTAAAAAAAACAGGCCTACGCATCCTTGATGGCCTCAAATGCTGCATGTATGATAGAAGCCATGATTCAAACAACAAATTTTGACCGTTTAATCAAACCACTGCATTGATAGATGGAACCACTAGAAAGACAAGGGCCTTTCTTCAATTGTTGGGGCCAAACTATGAGCATTTTGGAGTTGATTCAAAATCAGAAAAATGAGGCGGGCAAATCTGAGAACCAATATTGATTGGCCTTGTATTTGTCAAACTTCATTGTCAGTCACGTACAACATGTGTAGAGCATGATCGTAATTTCATATCATTCAAAATGAAATTCAAGTCTGGAGACCCTGAACATGGGGTAACATGGTGTCAGGTGTTGCGTTCGTAACCTCAGCAGACCCCAGTGTCAATGTACTACTGTACAATGTATAAATCCTCACTTGACTGGGGTGAAAATGGGGACCCCAGAAAGTGCGAAATGGAACGAAATGGAACAGAATCTGTATGAAGGAAAGCCGTTAAGCCGTTTGTGCGTTGGAACGCCCCCAGAAAGTGCGAAATGGAACGAAATGTGTATGGCCATTTGGACGTCGAGCGGACACTAACGTCGCCGTTCCAACGTACGAACGGCTT